TCTGAGACGGAGCCTTCAATTTATAGAATTAATAATAATACAGTTTATGCCGGTGTAGGTACTACGATAAAATAAAGCGAGAGAGAATTAGTGCTCGAATTAAGAAAAAAACGCTCATCTTTCTCGATTAACAATTCGAGATTAAAATGACTGTGCCATTGGAACCTCCTTCAAAAATGTTCTTATCGCACACGTGGCTCAGAATTTCTACAATAAAAGTCCAAACTATAACAACGATTAATTAAACGACACTAATTTAAAGAACTTTCTCTTGCAGACGTATTTTTTATTTTTACATTTTATACAAGTTCCGTTCAAACTGATATTTGTTCTCAACTTGTGATCGAATAATTCTTTTTGTTTTATTTCAAAATGTCCTCTGTATGTACTTTAAACAGCGTTTTCCAAAATTTTCTTGATATTATTTATGTATTTTCATTTTTACATTTTACAAGTTCCGTTCAAACTAATATTTGTTCTCAACTTGTGATCGAATAATTTTTTTTGTTTTATTTCAAAATGTCCTCTGACGGTACTGTAAACAGCGTTTTCCAAAATTTTCTTGACCTCTGTTAAAATACAACAGTGTTAAAGTACAAACATTACGAACATAACCCGTCGCAAGAAAATGCAATTATGAATTGAAGATTGGTTTCCAATTAAAGCGAAATGAATATTATTTCATGTTACAGGAACTTTGCTCGTTGCGAGTTATCTTCTGCAGCAGGTTTTAGGTGATCCTTCATGGAAGCGTAAAAGGAGCGCAATTTCTACGGTCGTAATTGAATTTCCTCTCGAATTAAAACACGGAATCACACGCGAGGATTCACTCGATACTGCCACTACCCCGTTAACTGGCCTGAACTCCTGTGCATAGATTGTCGAATCCCGGCTCATTGTGATAATTAACACGATTTTACCAAAGCTACCAGATACGCGTGATTGAATCAAAACCATACCAGGCCCGACAGGAGTTAATTTCCGCCATTAATATCCAGTCGTTTGCTACTCCCGATAATATCGCGTACACAAGGTGTACCAAACGATAACGATGCTCGAGATCTGATACAAAATGAAATTTTCGGTTCGCGTCTCCGAATTTGGAAAAAAGTATGTGCAATCGATACTGTTCACGCAGACACAAAAATCGAGCGTGTTCTCCGATCGCTTGTTTATCATTCTACAAATCTTTCGTCGTGTTACGATCAATTTTAATTTACGTATCATGTGCCAAAGATACGTTTGTCGAACTATAATATAATATTTTAATTTTTTTAATCTGACATATTTTCTATGATTTTAAGTTGCTAATTTTATTTAATGCTAGGATGCATGGAAGTAAACAGGGTGTCCCAAAAATGTCTCCCAATCCGAAAATGGATTCCCAAGGTAATTTCAAGCAACTTTTTCCTTAGCGAAAGTGCAATCCGCAGCTTCGTTTAGGAGTTATTCACGAAAAACGCTGACCAATCGGAGAGCGAGTGCGGCCAGCGCTCCGCCCTTGCGGCCAATGCTGCGTCGCGCATTCTGTCTGACGCGGCGGTAGTGGTCGCGAGGCGGGACGTCAGCCGTAGGCATCTCTCATTGGTCAGTGTTTTTCGTTAATAACTCGTAAACGAAGCCGCGGATCGCATTTTCGCTAAGGAAAAAGTTGCTCGAAATTACATTGGCAACCCATTTCCGGATTGAGAGACATTTTTGAGATACCCTATAGAGACAGTTTAAGGAAGAAGATGCGAAGGAGGCCGAGCCATATGTAGAAAACCGATGAAGCTATTGACACGGATGTGCAATGTTAACGAAGTGACAATGTATAACGAAGAACAATACAAGGAAAAATATTATATAAATATAAGAATAAAAAAAAGATATAAATATAAGAATTCCGCCATTCAAAGAAGTCAATCACAGAGACTTTGGTCTATTAGCAGATTACACGTTGACACTTTCACTCGAAGTTGCCGCACGCCACTCTAATTGGAGGCACTCGATACTCGCGACAGCGCATTCTGCCCTAATAATCATCGGGAGAACATGCGCGACCATTTACAATCTTCAAAGCGAACATCCCGTTACGCGGAAACCTAATTTTCGAACGATTCCACAGTCTCCGATTTCCATGCGACGATGATATCTCGCGCACGGTGTCGCAACGTTTTCGGACACCGTGTACATACATCGTGGCAGCTCCTAAACCGATTCGTGTATCATCGCGGGAACGGTTTTACGGTTGAAGAATGCTAGCGCGAAAATTATTGAACCACTTTATGCCCGTTGAACGGCGCCACATTAGCGGCAATAAGCAAACAAACGACGAGTCGCGGCCGCGCCATCGTCAGTGGCCGGCTCTGCCAGCGACAATTGTTGTACGTTGACTCTTCTCTGCCCTCTCTCTCGCACTATAAATAATCTGTACAATTTCTAGAGGCCTTCTCCCGCGTCGACGAATTCCCCGGTGGTCTCGCTTCGCATAAAGGACTTTGAGCTTATGTGACGCGTGAAATTATAACGGCGGGTTGGAAACGAAAAAAAAGGAAGAGAGAGAAAGGGAGAGAAAGAGAAAGAGAGAGAAAGAGAAAGAGAGAGAGAGAGAGAGAGAGAGAGGAAGAAGAAGAGGAGGAGCCAGAGGAGAAGGAGAGCGGGACAGTGAGCGACGGCAGGGCATTCTTTGAATAGTGGAATTACTTGCAGTAAGAAAATGAAAATCTAGAAGACGGCCGAGTAAACCGTATAAAGGAGAATGCTTTTCCTACGATGGCCACCGCAATTATATTACTCCGCGCTGATCCTTTCTACCGTAAGCTTTGCTCGTCACCGGCCGTTTGAACCGCCTTACGAAGCTTTACTTTTTAACCGCGACGCCGAGGAAAACGTGAAATCCTTGGACACTAGTCGAAGGAAAAGCTGATGAACGCGGCCGACTTTGATCGCGATATTACTCGGCTCTAGTGAAAAAAAGAAAGTTGTTTAAAGTCGCTCGGATTCGTCGAGGAAGATCAGTCGAGACGTAAATACGAATGAGAATATATATGACATTAGAAATATATTGTAATTAGGCCAATTCCGATTGTCTTGTCAACATTGGACCTATCGCCTCGTAAAAGTAAGGACATCCAATTCGTTTGCGACTCTGAGGCGACGCTAAAAATTGCATTTTCAAAAGAATTTCTACGTTATTATATTTTTCTGCATTCGATAAATTTTCAAGGTTATTTTATAAGCCTTTTATAAGCATACACGTTCAATTTCATGTGCAATCGAATAAAAACAATCATAACAAATGGACATACTTTAGGTTGAAACAAATGTCTTCATTTTGGAGTTGAAATAGTCTCGAGTGCAAAGAGTTGAAAATTCGGAAAATCACAGTTTCCCGCGACTTTCGACCGAAAATTGCGAGAATTGCATACGTATAAGTCACAGAGATCTACAAAACGCATTTTTTAAATTTTCGACACATGCTCGGATAAAAAGATACAAAACGCGAGTTCAATTTCTCTGCCATTCCGAGTAATAGCAAAATTTAAAAAGAAAGAATTTCGATAATTTTCTAGCAACATAGCCCTTCTGTCATCTAAAAAAAAACAATCAAATCGTTTAGTTCCGTCTTAAAGAAGTTACACCGTTTTAAACATCGTGCAATGCGAGAGTCGCCGCGCATAAATTTCACATAAGAGAAACACGAAGCTTCGTTGGAAAACTAACGATTAACTGGAATCGATCATCGCGAGCACCGACTCGCAAGAAATGTTTACCCGACTTTTCGGAGAACGTTTCCTTCGCCGGGCATTGTAGCGCGATAGCTGCTGCGCAAATACTATCCGCCCATGATTCATGGTTCGCGATGGAGCACACAAGCCCGGAGAATTATCCGGGGCAAAAGAATTACACGAATTAGCAGTCGCGACTCGGCCCGCGTTGGAAACTATGTACAGTAATGTCTCTCTAATTGACGCCCAGATTGCGCACGAAAATGGACAATTTGGGAAGAGGAGATACGATTATTCGAGACTTGCGGTTTATTTTTATACAGGGTGTCCCAAAAATGTCTCGCAATCCGAAAGTGGCGGGTTCCTCGGGTCATTTGAAACAATTTCTTCCTTTACAAAAATGTTCTCCGAGGCACCGTTAACGAGTTACTAACGAAAAACAGTGACCAATGAGAGGCGAGCTCAGCTGGCGTTAGGCGGCCGAGCCAACGGCGCCAGCGGTCGAGCGGTCGAATCCCAGTTCCGCTGATTGGCTCGGTCGCCTCGCGCCAGCTGATCTCGCCTCACATTGGTCACGGTTTTTCGTTAATAACTCGATGACGGTGCCTCGGAGAACATTTTTGTAAAGGAAAAAGCTGCTTCAAATGATCCGAGGAACCTGCCATTTCCGGATTGCGAGACATTTTTGGGACATTGTCCACAATTATAAAAACGAGCCGCAAGGCTCGAATAATCGTATCTCCTCTTCTCAAGTTGTCCATTTTAGTGGACAATCTGAGCGTCAGTTAGGGAGGCATTATTGTACTTAGGTATTTGTTTTAGAATTCAGTATTCTTAGCACTGATATTACAGTAATGTCTCCCTAACTGACGCTCAGATTGTGCAGAAAAATGGAAAATTTAGGAACAGGAGACACGATTATTCGAGTCTTGCGATTCATTTTTATAGTTTTCGAATTGTCAATAACTCTAAGAACGAGTTGCAAGGCTCGAATAATCGTATCTCCTCTTCCCAAATTATCCATTTCAGTGCACAATCCGAGCGTCAGTAAGGGAGACATTATTGTATCCCGGACGCGATAAAAATTGGGCAAGTTCGCGCGCGGCGTCTCGAGTTCCGCGCGCGCCGGGTAAATGCACTTACTTTGCCGGTCATAATTTTTTCGCCGCAACAGCCAGGGGCCCCGGCGGCCTCGACCGTTCCCCTCCCGGTGTTTTCGCGAAAGTTCAAGCAACGAGGGTCAGAAAAAACGAGGATCGGATCCCCGTTGTCTGTCCGGTTGGTACTTACGGCTGCGGCTGGGTGTCTCGCCGGCGCGGGGTACATCTTAATTGTGGCTAAATACTTCTCGAGGAATCACACGTGTCCACTGTGTCCTTTGTACACGGTCACTTCATGATCCATTCCCTGGCCCGATCTTTCTATGGACATTCTCAGGATCCTGGAGAAACGCCAGCGGTCTTCCCTCACCGTTCACCATCGAGATTCTCTCGCCGGCTGTAATTATAACACGACACGATTCGTTACTTTCAGCGAAACCGGCGAACATCGTCGACTTGTTCCACGAGGCTTTCAGTGTGACTTTGCGTAACATCGGAGAGTCGGAAAAGTATCGACGCGAGAACTACCAGATAAATAACGTTGTTTTAACCGTAATTTCTCGTTATCGTATCAGCGAAACCGTGAAGTTTCTTTCGAAGAGAATTTACGAAATTACTGTGACTCTCGTTTCGGAGTACATGCCGGTTCACGCAAAGTCTCAATAAACTCTCGTAATTGTTATAGAACATTACGGAAACAGTGAGTTTCGACGGTTATTTTAGTATCAAATAATTACGACAGCTTTCTGGTATGCGACGTTCGTCCGCGATTGGAACAGCGAATTTTTGCTGTAATTTTGTGGAACGAGTACATTTTACGTTCTGGAAATTTCTTTTACGCGAGGAGAAAGCATCGTTTCCTTTGCAATTTTGAAGCGATTACAATAGGTCGAAAACGATGCAATAAGGCAAATGGAAAGTGGGTAAATTAAATCGCAATATACAGGGTGTTCCAAAAATGCCTCGCAATCCGAAAGTGGCGGGTTCCTCGGGTCATTTGAAGCAACTTCTTCCTTTACAAAAATGTTCTCCGAGGCACCGTTAACGAGTTATTAACGAAAAACAGTGACCAATGACAGGCGAGCTCAGCTCGAGGCGACCGAGCCAATGGCGCCAGCGGTCGAGACGGTCGAATCCCAGCTCAGCTGGCGCGAGGCGACCGAACCAAGGAGCGGAACTGGACTTCGCGCGCTGGTTGGCTGGGCCGCCTCGCGTCAGCCGTACTCGATTCTTATTGGTCACTGCTTTTCGTTAATAACTCGTTAACGGTGCCTCGGAGAACATTTTTGCAAAGGAAGAAGTTGCTTCAAATGATCTGACGAACCCGCTATTTCCGGATTGCGAGACATTTTTGGGACACCCTGTAGACTCGATTAAAATCGTTTCCACGAGACGTATTTATTTTCCTCGGCGATTAAGAATAAAGAAGGATATCCTAGGTTCCAACATGCTTGTACAAAATGTTTAAACGGTTCTCTTTAATTTAGCAGCATTGTTATTTTCTGCGAATGCACTCCGAATTTTGTTGAGCATCATAATCGCGTAACATTGACACGGCTCGCGCGCGATTCGCGCTCACTTCGCCGGCGAAATGTCTTGTATTAAATTTCGAAACGTGAAAACAAGCTGCGAACGCGCGTATCGTAGGCTTACAAAACAATAGCTTTTATTTCCAGTTCGCATGGAATGGCCGGAAACGCAACCGGCGCGTCGCATATTGATTTTTAAATAATTTATATTCTCCGGTTGCGCACAGAGACGCGGCTTTATGAATCCGGCTGATCAATTTATCGTTCGATTTACGATCCCTGTAAACGCGTGCCCCCGATCCCTGTGAACGGTCGCATTTATCCTAATCTCCGAGGCGTATTTCCAGCGCGCGCGACAATGAAACGGAATAAAAGCGGACGGAGGAAAAGAAGGCGGGAAAAGAAAGTGCGCTCGCGCCCTGTTCTGCAAACACAACACAAAGCTGTCGCATGTGCAAAATGTCACGTACGAAAACTGTCTCGCATTTTTTTAAGCCATTTTCCAATAAACACTCCACTTCGGAGCGTTAACACCCTTCGCCGATATTTCTCGGAAAGCAACGAACAAATAATCATTCGTGCGCGACTATCAACCAGATTCGCGATACGAAAGCGTATACATCATCGAGTACGTGATTTACATTCACGATCGCGCGAAGATTGAAGAATTCGCACGTCTAAAAAATAAAGGGTGCGTAAATTTAAAGATCGCAAAATTCAGATATATATATATAGCGAGAGAGAGAGAGAGAGAGATAAGATATATATATATATATATATATAGAAAAATCGTTAATAAGATTCCTATTACATATTAACCCTTTGCACTCGAGTGGTGACTCCGAGGCACTACTGAAATTTGTTATATCACCTTTCAAGATAATTTTGATATTAACAAAGTTTAGATTTAAAACATTATTAAGAGTGTAACTGTCGCGCGAGTCCCAAGAGTCAATTTCATATGCATAAAATTTTTTGTCATATAAAATATAAATATTATAAGTCAGAAAAATGATTTTATATTTACAGTTAAAATAGCTTCGAGTGCAAAGGGTTAAGCTTGTCATTTAGTAATCGTATATAGCGATTATTGAAGAACAGTTCTTTGTGCTGTGTTTTTCTGTGCCATTTATTATTGTATAAAACAAAGTTCTTTAGTGTGCAGCGTTTAATACAAATCGCTGGATCTTCTGGAAAATATAGAGTTGATTTGGAGACTATAAGCGTTTCATAGTCGCAATGATTAGAATATTTTCGATATAATTATGTATGCAATTTTTCTGACAAAATCTTGAAAATATATATTTTGTGTAACGTCTTCCACGCGGAATCGAATTACGTAGAAATTCATTCTCCAACGTCCATTTCCTTGTTAAGAAAAATTCCTCTCCTGTGAAAAAATTATCCGATCGAAGAATCCACGCACAATTTTCTTCGATATATCCTGTGCACGAGTCACGGTAAAAATTTCAGCTTAAAAACTTCGTTCGAGTTATATTGATCGCAACATTAACTGACTAAAAAAAAAGAAAAACTGATTAAAAAGGAAATTTGTCTGCGTTTGCTCGAACGTTTAAATACTGATAATAACAGAACCGAATTTTATACCGACTCAAAAGAACGGAATAACATTTATACTTGACATAAGCAATTAGAAGAAATTACATCATCGATCGGACTTGTCGAAGTATGAATAAAATGTTAATCAAAGAAATCAGTTTTCCCTCGGTTCGTGTGAATTGGTACGGAAAGAACTGTGATTTTGCCACGGCCGTTATAGTTATTACTATCAGTCCCCCCCCCGGTCCCCCCTACACCCCGTTGCCGTAACAATTGTTCGCGAGCGCACGTGTCATTACGGTCTCTTTGTAACGCTGGATGATGTTCCGTGTAACATGAAAATGGAGTCATGTAACTCTGTTATCAATCCGTTCTCCGTGGATAATATATTTCACGGGCGACGTATAATGGGGCGGGGCGTGCGTGAAAAACTCTCGGACAAATTCGAACAGTCATTTCCATCAATTTGCAATAAACGAGAGCGATGAAAACTTTCAGCGGTTTTAACGCGCGTCGCCTTTATCGCCTATTTGCGTATCGCTACGTAACACGTATAGGCCATGGTAGATGAAAAATTTATTCATAGAGTTTACGGACAATCAATTTCGGCGTCGGATACAAAACGGTCGAAAATTCGATGTCTACAACGACAACAATCAATCTACCGACTACATACGTACTGTGCGCGGCCCGATGATTTTTTTCCGTTCCGAGTCGTAGCTCGTTCCGACACTAACGGCGAAATTCATTGGAGCATTCTGCGCCAACAAATTTTATTTTACATTATAAATTGCTTTTTTTCCCCGTCGCAGAATGAATCTACCCTCGCTAAATTGGTTTTTACAATTCGAACTAGAAAATGTTTGCGCAGCGTAACGACCGGACCAATATGCATTTACAGCGCGAGGATATTGTTCGAATGGAAGAAAACGTCAACGACGGACGCTATCATTCTGCGTCCATCGCCCAAAAATCTTCGGGCAAGAAGTTTCTCCTTTCGTACGAACTGTCTTTCCTTTTTCTAGAAACGAACGAATTGAAGCTGGAAGAAACGAATTGGAAGCTCCTATCTCGCGAAGTCAAATTGGCTTTTAACCTTTTAGGTACGGCTGAATTCAGCGTGAGGCTATTTCTCTGGACGGCAGAATCTGATGTGTACTGTACAGAGTCTGATACTGTATATACAGGGGGTGTCCCAAAAATGTCTCGCAATCCGAAAGTGGCGGGTTCCTCAGGCCATTTGAAGCAACTTTTTCCTTTACAAAAATGTTCTCCGAGGCACCGTTAACGAGTTATTAACGAAAAACAGTGACCAATGAGAGGCGAGCTCGGCTGGCGCGAGGCGATCGAGCCAATGAGCGGAACTGAGCTTCGCGCGTTGGTTGGCTGGGCCGCCTCGCGTCAGCCGTACTCGATTCTTGTTGGTCACTGTTTTTCGTTGATAACTCGTTAACGGTGCCTCGGAGAACATTTTTGTAAAGGAAGAAGTTGCTTCAAATGATCCGAGGAACCCGCCATTTCCGGATTGCGAGACATTTTTGGGACACCCTGTAGACTGTTGTAAATCGATGTGAAGACAAAAGAAATGTGAAACAATGCATATGAAGACGATTATTTGATTCAAACGATGAGCGAGTGAGCTACTAGAGCAAGCCAACTATAGTGGCGCGTCGTCCAGAGAGATGACATCCGCGAAAGCCACTATAGTGGCGCGTCGTGCCTAAAAGGTTAAGCTAATTTGTTATAATTAGCACGCTGTTATTTACAGTTACAATATATTATGTAATATTTGAGCATCTATGATTTTTCTCCGTTAAATTTCATTCATATCTCGTAAAGGCTGTCTGTCGCGTTTAACAAAACATTGCGCTAAAACCTTAGCGAGCCCGCATTTATAATGAAGCTTTCGAAACAGAACGTATGCCAATTAATTAGCTTTTACTTCGTTCTATTCGCCAGTATTATCAGTGCCTGTTAGACGAAGGCTGGAAGCTAACTTGCGATTAAATAAAAATCAACTTTTATTAACATCAAACTCGCCGAGTTCCAAAAGTGACCGACACATATTGTTTTACAAAAACGACAGTACTGAATTCATTTAAACTTTTCGCCAGTTTTATTATAATGTAAGGGTGAACGAAAAAATTTAATCAATTATTTTCTACGAAAGAATCTTCGTAATTTCAACAGTTCTAAACTGAACAAATATGAAAAACCATATCGTTTTTAAACTTTCTTTGCGATTCAAACTCTGCGCATGCGATAAATTCATAAAAATCCGCCTAATCATCGCTGACACGTGAACTTC